AGTATTAGCAGAGGGCGGGATAGGTTTCCCTGAAGAGATGGGTTTTCAGTGATCGCCTAAAGGTAAGTAGAGTAGGTGATAGTCTGACAGATTGGGGTAGGGAGTTCCAGACGATGGCTGACACCCTGGAGAAGTCTTGGAGACGAGCATGGGAGGAGGAGATAAGGGAGCTAGAGAGTAGAGGTCTTGCGAGGAGCGGAGTGTACGGTTTGGGTGATATTTAGAGATAAGATTGGATATGTAAATTGGGGCAGTGTTGTGGATGGCTTTATATGTCATTGTTAGTGTTTTGAATTTTATCCGTTGGGCAACTGGGAGCCAGTGGAGGGATTGGCAGAGGGGGATGGCAGATACAGAACGGTTAGTGAGGTGGATGAGTCTGGCAGCAGCGTTCATGATAGACTGGAGGGGGGATAGCCTGCGATGAGGTAGCCAATGAGGAGGGAGTTACAATAGTCGAGGTGAGATATAACAAGGGAGTGGATAAGTTGCTTAGTGGTTTCCGAGGTTAGGAACGGGCGTATCTTGGAGATGTTGCGGAGGTGAAGTCTACATGAGTTTGTCAGCGATTGGATCTGGGGCTGGAAGGACAGATGGGAGTCTAGGATTACACCTAGTACCCTGGCATGAGGGGAGGGACTGATGATAGTGTTATCGATATTTATGGTGAAGTTCATGGGGGTGGGCGGGGGACTGGGAGGGAATACTAGGAGCTCAGTTTTGGAAATGTTGAGTTTGAGGAAGTGAAGTGACATCCATGCCGATATGTCACTTAGTAGGCTAGCGATGCAAGTGGAGACTGAAGGGGTGAGGTGAGGGGTAGAAAGATAGATTTGTGTGTCATCAGCATAGAGATGGTAATTGAAGCCATGGGAGTTTATTAAGTGACCAAGGGAGGAGGTGTAGATGGAGAAGAGAAGGGGTAAAGACAGAACCTTGAGAGACCCCTACAGAGAGAGGGAATGAGGAGGAGGAGGCAGCGTTATAGGTAACACTGAAGGAGCGCTGCGATAGATAGATAGATAGGAGGAGAACCAGGGAGAGCGCAGAGTCTCTGAGGCCAAGAGAGTGGAGTTTTTTGAGGAGGAGGGGATGGTCAACAGTATCAAAAGCTGCAGAGAGGTCGAGTAGTAGGAGTATTGAATAGTGGCCATTGGTTTTAGCAGTTAGTAGGTCATTAGAGAGCTTTAGTAGGGCAGTTTCAGTGGAGTGTAGAGGGCGAAAGCCAGACTGTAAAAGGGTTGGGAAGGTTGTTGTCGGTGAGGTGGGAGCTCAGGCGATTGTAGACTAAGCGTTCTAGGAGTTTAGAGGTAAATGGCAGCAGGGAGATGGGTCTAAGGTTGTTCAGGTTGGTGGGGTCCAGGGAGGGTTTTTTAAGTATGGGAGTGATGTGCGCATGCTTTAGAGGGGAGGGGAATGCACCTGTAGAGAGGGAGAAATTGAAGATGTGAGTGAGGGAGGATAGGATGGAAGAGGAGGGTGACCGAATGAGTTGTGAGGGGACAGGGTCCAGGGGGCAGGTGGTGAGGCGGGCTTCTGAGAAGACCTTAAGGACCTCTTCGGTGGTAGCGAGGTCAAAGGAGGAAAGTGTTTAGAAAGGAATATGAAAAGGAGGAGTAGAGGAGGCATTTAAAGGTGCGGGGAGTGGATCAGATATGGAGAGATGGTTTCCAGGGGTGTTTGATTGAAGATTGTCTAGCATGCAGTAGAGTTTCTTGTAGTATCTTCCTGCAGCTAGAGTTCTTCTCCTTTGGGCAAGCTGGGCTGGGTTCAGCGTGAGTGGAATCTGAGTGGTCAGTTGTGGAGCGCTGCGTGGCTAGTTCTTGAGGGAGGACGTTCGTGCTTTTGTGAAGATTTGCTTGGAGTTTAGTGGCTAGCTTGGTGTAAGAGTTACTAGGGTTCAAGATCCAGGTGGAAGTTCCAGGTTATGAATTTATGTCCCTTGAAGCCGATGGAGAGAAGCCGATGCGAGGGGAGCAGGGGAACCATATGCCGGCCTGGCCTCTGGTATGGGGTTAGGTGAGTTGACTCAGATGAGGCCTTGTTGGTAGAATTCCAGGCTGTGTCACTGAGGTCCAGGCTGTGTCACTGTAGGCCGTAGTAGGCCTCAATAGGTCAGGTTTGTCAGCCGTGGGTTGAGGGGGGACAGAACCACTCCGATCCCCCCTCCTGGCATGGACCCGGACAGTGGGGCTTCGGGGAGAACTTTGATGCATGTCAGTGGCACGCCGCTGCTCAGGTCGGTGGGGGTTTAGAGCCGGGGTGCCTGAGCCTCGGGCTACACGTCCGCACCAGGCCACGGGTGACCCTGGTGACACAGCCGTGGGTATCCGTAGGGAAGACCTCCCTGGTGGAGATGGGGATGGATGGAGATGGCTTGCCCAGATGCAGGGGTGGGGATGGAGGTGGATGGAGATGGCTTACCCGGATTCAGGAGACGCTGTAAAGATCTGGGGTGCCTGAGCCTCGGGCTATGCGGCCGTGCCAGGCCGCGAAGTGGTGTCCACGGGTGATGCGGCCGTACCAGGCCGGGGGGGGGGGGGGGGCGATCGAGTGATGGTGATGCCAGTGTGGGGCCCTGTCGGGGGCCACAGCTGCCTGATCCTGCTGAGCTGCCAGAAGTGGCCCTTGAAGCCGGTGGAGAGGGCCAGGGAGCCTGCTGAGGTATCTGCTTGCTGTCTTCCTGCTGGGCATGTGTCCAATACAGCCTGCTGCTGAGCCTGCCTCCAATGCTGAGCTGCCTGAAGTGGCCCCTGGGGCCGATGGAGAGGGGGCCGCATGCATCCCACCCTAGGAGCGGGTTACTCAGCAGGGGTCGGGGGGTGGAACGGCGGCGTCCCGATCCGGCGGTGGCATCCCAAACCGGCCAAGATTTTACGCGAGGCCTCCGCGGTAGGCCGCAATTCCCGGAGCTCCGGAATTGGCCCAAAATTGGCCCAGCACCCCTCCCTGGGTGCTCATCAGAGGCCGTAGGGTCTCCGGGGCCCCTGTGAAGTCTGCTGCCGCCCGGATGGCAGCGGATGGGCACTGGGGCGACGGAGCTCCTTGCTTAGGACACTGCTCTGGTCACCATCTTGCAACCTCAGATATATATTATAAAACATTATATAATTTATTATCTAGCCATACTAGACGTATCAACTTACTTTCATTATATTATCACCTAAGGGCGGATTATGCATAGACCATTATCACCATTATTATTATTAGTACTTTTATTTTTATTTTTATATTTGTAATATTGTCATTATTCTGTTTGATTGTCATCATTACCGTTACCATGGTTATACTGCATTTTTACTCACCTAATTATTTTTTATACCACTGTTGCAAGGTGATCTTCACATCCTATGCCACTAGCTAAATTTATGAGCCATCTAAGCAAGCATACACCATTGGGTGTAACATATCTAATTTTATATATTTTTTTTTTTAATTTTATTCTTATTTTTTAATTTTCAATTAATTTTTATTTTTTATTTTAACATTTAACATTTTTATTTTTTATTTTTTTAATTATTTTATTTTTATTTATTTACTTATTTTTTATTTTTCATTTTTACATTTTATTTATTTTTTAAATTTTGTAATTTTTCAGTAATTTTTTTTTATTATTTTTTAATTTTCAAATGTATATATATTTTTTTTTCATGCATTTTTATTTTTTTTTTTATTTTTTTTTATTAATAATTTTTTTATAATTTTTTGTGTATATATATATATTTTCTAATATATATACATTTTATATATTTATTTTATTTATTTTTTTTACATATATATATAATTAAATTTGATTTTACATTATTATTTTTCATTTTGACCATTTCTATTTCCATTTTTATTCACATTTTATAAATATTGATACCTACATTTTTTTCCTTTTCCTTTTCTTTTCTTTTCATTTCCTCTATTTTCCATTTTCCATTTTCCCGTTTCATTTTTTTCCCATACCATTTTATTTTCATTATTAATAACTTCTTATTTTTTCATCCATTTACAATTTAATTCTCTTCCCGTACTCTTTTAACCACACAGTGTCACCTTACAACAATGGTAGAATCACATTATTGCTGAAACAATTGGTTAATTAATTGCCAATCAGCCCCTCTGAGGATTAACTCCGTATATATACAACTATCGGACTCCCACTTCCCCGGCTTGATAAAGGAGCGCACTTCCGCCTCTCCAGGCCAGCGCATGCTCCGAAACGCGTCGTTGCAGTGCACCTTGGGTAACTGACGTCATCACGCCCACGTCATCGCTGCGTTCCAGCGTGCGTTCCCCCCGGCTTTGAGGAGGACGTGCACGCCGGCCGACTCCACAGCTGTCCCCCTCCAGCCACCACGCTGCTCCAGCGGAACGCTGACACATTGTTACCGATGACAGCTCAGTGACACCGATGACAACCCCCTCCTGTCCCATGTTACACCACACCACTTTATTTCATGCATTACTTGTACCTCATACATGGGAGGGTTCCTACTTCTCATCTTCATTAAAGTGTTATGCTGCACTTAGAGGTGCTTCTTCTCCTTCTCTCATCCTAACAGAGAGAGTCACTGCCCTGTTCATAGAGCTCAGGAGACAACTGGAGGACCTGGAGAGAGAGAGTCCTGAGGGAGATCGCCAGCCAGGAAGAGCGGCTTTCATGTCCATTGTCTGAGATGATCCATCAACTGGAGATAAAGAAGAAGGATCTGTCCAGGAAGATGGGGGACATTGAGGAGCTGTGTAACATGACCGACCCCCTGACTGTCCTCCAGGAATCAGACACAGGGGACTTGTGTGATACTGAGGAGGGAGATGATGAGGACAGAGAGAGACATGATAGACTCCTCCATGATGGAGGGGATCTGGATGTGGCTGGAATCTCACACACATTACACACAGGGATATCTGATATGATAAAAGGGGGAAATGTATGCTTCAATATACAGGAAGCTTCAGACTTATTACTGGATGTGAACACAGCTCATAATAATCTACAGATATCAGATGACATGAAAACTGCATCCTGGTCAGATATAGAGCAGAATCGCCCAGAAACACCAGAGAGATTTCAGTTATGGGTCCAGGTATTAAGCAGTCGGAGTTTTTCCTCGGGGCGACATTACTGGGAAGTGGATGTCAGTGAGGGAGAAGAGTGCAGAGTCGGGATGTGTTATCCCAGTATAGAGAGGGGAGGAGAGCAGTCAGGGATTGGATGTAATAACAAGTCCTGGGTTTGAGGAAGTATAACAGTGAGTGTTATCTTACATGATAATAAAACAATCCGCATATCTCCCGATACCCCCCCCTGATAGAGTCAGGATCTATGTGGATTATGAGGCCGGGCAGCTGTCCTTTTATGATCTGTGTGACCCCATCAGACACCTCCACACCTTCACCACCACCTTCACTGAGCCCCTCCATGCCGGGTTATGTGTAGAAGAAGGTCGTATAAAGATCTCTGGGGGGGTGGTAGATTCTCAGCCGTGGAGAGTGTCCTCCATCACTTCCACACCCAACAAGGCAAGATTTGGGGGGGGGGTTATTTAGCAATTAGGCTGACCACTAGAGATGAGCGAAGAAATGAAAAATTCGATTCGACTGATTCGGCGAATTCGTGGACAATATTCGATTCGAGTCGAATAAATTCGCTGTGAATTTAACTTAAAAAAGGGTGTTTCTAGGCTTCAGAGAGACTTAATATTAGTGCAGAACACTGTACCTTTAATTTAAATGCCCTTGGAGTCTGCTGGGGAAGAGAAATAATACTGTCTGTCAGTATGACATGCAGATGATGAGTGCCGTCGATCTTAGAATCACTGCACACACTTCACTCCTTTGGCCAGTCACGGGGCCAAAAACCAGTGTTTGGAGCCACAGTGTGGCGGTGGAGGCAGCAGCAATGGGAGGCCATACAGCAACCTATGACAAAATGGAAACCAGCAGGAGCGTGAGGAGACCTGAAAGTGGCACATGGCAGAGTGGGAGCAATGGGAGGCGGTACAGGGACCCAGGTCACACTGTGGGCCCAGCAGCAGCGTGACCAGGCTTAGGGTACGGGGGCCCATGGCCGATATGGGGCTTGGTGGCACCTATGGAAGGCCTGTAATCTGCCAGCAACCTATGACAAAATGGACAACCGCAGGAGTGTGAGGAGATTTCAAAGTGGCACATGGCAGAGTGGAAGCAATGGGAGGCCGTACAGGGACCCAGGTCACACTGTGGGACCAGCATCAGCGTGAACAGGCGGTACGGGGGCCCATGGCCGATTTGACCTCATTCATCCCATAGTCCTGCCGACTCACGAATAGCGTGCCTCCTCAAAGGCCTGAGCAAGCGCAGGTGTCACACATGAGCTGACAATGGCTGACATCTAAGTTACACAGGGAGTACCTTTATCCGCTTTTAACATCAGGAAATCTGTGATGGCCTTTAGCTGTTCGTAAAGGCGGTCTAACATATGTAGGGTTGAATTACACCTTGTTGCAACGTCACAGCATGAGGAGTCGGTACGGGGGCCCATGGCAGATTACATGTCTGGCAGCAGCAATGGGAGGCCCGTAATCTGCCCAGCACCCTATGTCAAAAAATTTAACACACCAGCAGTGTGAAGAGACCTGAAAGTGGCACATGGCAGCAGAGTGTGGCGATGGAGACAGCAGCAATGGGAGGCCGTACAGGGACCCATGAGAGACTCTGGACTTGGCAGCAGCAGCATGAGGAGGCGGTATATAGGGGCCCATGGCAGATTAGGGGCCTGGCAGCAGCTATGTGAGGCCCGTAATCTGCCTGCACCCTATGTCAAAAAATTAAACACACCAGCAGTGTGAAGAGACCTGAAAGTGGGCACATGGCAGCAGAGTGTGGCGATGGAGACAGCAGCAATGGGAGGCCGTACAGGGACCCATGACAGACTCTAGACTTGGCAGCAGCATGAGGAGGCGGTATATAGGGGCCCATGGCAGATTAGGGGCCTGGCAGCAGCTATGTGAGGCCCCGTAATCTGCCTGCACCCTATGTCAAAAAATTAAACACACCAGCAGTGTGAAGAGACCTGAAAGTGGCACATGGCAGAGTGTGGCGATGGAGACAGCAGCAATGGGAGGCCGTACAGGGACCCATGACAGACTCTAGACTTGGCAGCAGCATGAGGAGGCTAGGGTATATAGGGGCCCATGGCAGATTAGGGGCCTGGCAGCAGCTATGTGAGGCCCGTAATCTGCCTGCACCCTATGTCAAAAAATTTAACACACCAGCAGTGTGAAGAGACCTGAAAGTGGCACATGGCAGCAGAGTGTGCGCTATGGAGACAGCAGCAATGGGAAGAGGCCGTACAGGGACCCATGAAGACTCTAGTAATCTGCCTGCACCCTATGTCAAAAAATTAAACACACCAGCAGTGTAGAGACCTGAAAGTGGCACATGGCAGCAAAAGTGTGGCGATGGAGACAGCAGCAATGGGAGGCCGTACATGGGACCCATGTGAGAGACTCTGGACTTTGGCACATGGCATGAGGAGGCGTATATAGGGCCCCTTGGCAGATTAGGGGCCTGGCAGCAGCAATGGGATGCCCTAATCTGCCTGCACCCTATGTCCAAAAAATTAAACACACCAGCATGTGAAGAGACTCTGCAATGTGAACAATGGCAGCAGTGTGGCGATGGAGACACGCAATGAGGCGGCATACAGGGACCCAAAGACAGACACTAGACTTGGCATCAGCAGAGGAGGCGTATATAGGGTGGCCCCTGCAATTAGGCCTCCCAGCCGCTATGTGAAGGCCCCTAATCTGCCCTAGAGTGTGGGATGGAGGGGCAGCAGCAAGGGAGGCGTACGGGACCCCTGAAGGCTTTAGACTTGGCAGCCCAAAGAGGGGCGGAATAGGGGCCATGGAGATTGGGGCCTGGGGCAGCTATGTGAGGCCCCCAACTTGCCTCACCCTATGTAAAAATTTAAAAACCGCGTGTGAAAAGGCCTGAAATGGCCCATGGAGCGAGTGTGGCGTGGAGACAGCAGAAAGGGGCCGTACAGGGCCTGGGACTTGGGGTTGCAGCGCATGAGGAGGGGGTATATAGGGGCCCCCGGGATTAGGGGGGGGCAGCAGCTATGTGGGCCGTAATCTGCCCGCACCCCATGTCAAAATTTAAACCCAGCAGTGTGAAAAGATGAAAGTTGGACCTGGCAGCGGGTTGGGCGATGGAGGGCAGCAG